TAAAATATGTACTCCAAAAGTCATCTCCCCCTCTTCTTCTCTCTCCTCTCTCTCTTTCTCTCTCGTCTCACCTCTTCCTCTGTTCCCCACCTTGGGATCGACTCCTTCCTCTCTGACGAGCTCCGCCATGACCCACAAGCCCTAAACGACTCCTTTCTCTCTCTACACTCCTCTCTCCTCAAATCCCTTTCTCTCCCCTCTATCCACTCTCACCGCCAATTACTCTCTCATCTCACTTCCCTAACCCTAACAGTCCCTGTAAAAGCCATCCTTGTCGGCGATTTCAGTGGGGCGGATCCCTCTGAAACCCTAACATCTCTCTTCTCTTCACTCCATTTTGACCCCCATTTCCCTGTCATCTTCTCCTCTGATCCTTTGCATCGCCTCATAATAAGCAGGGAGTTTCACCTCGAGGTTTCTAGGGCTCCTTCTCGCATTGCTTCTCGGTTGCAGGAAGCCATTAAAGCTCACATCGAAGCTTCAACTTCTGGTAAGCTCTACGGCCTTCACCCTGTTCCTTACTCCGTGATTGATGATATAATTGGCCATGAATCGAGAGAAAACAATGAATATACGCTTTATTTGCTCAATTTGAAACCTCAGTCGAAGACTTATGCTTATTCTTACACTCCTGGTGATCCTTCTCCTGCCTTTCCTAAGTGTTTAGGTAGTTTGTGGACTGGTAAAGATAGGTATCTTTGGGTTGACTTAGCTGCTGGTCCTGTTGATTATGGGCCTTCTATATCAGGAGAAGGGGTTTTACCTAGAGGTGAATTCCACCCTTTAACTGCTTTACATGGAAAGCCCAAGTCTCATATCGGATTCTTAGCTGATTTGACTTCATTGATTTGGAGTGCTTCGAGGGTTTTGTTCGCCCCATCTCTGAGAATTCCTGCTTTTTTCGATAACCCATTGATTGTTCAGTTTGTTCATATTCACGGGTCAGGAGATAAGGACTTGAGGGGCTTGGATTGGGATTCGATAGAGAGTGCTTTCATGGATGAGGTGAAAAATGGTGGTTCGCTTTTGGGGCAACAAGAGCTGAAGTTTAGGAGGTCGGAATTGAAGTTTCCAGATTGCCCGATTTGTAATTATGCGATATTGAGGTCCATGAATTCGTATACCTCGAGGTTCTTGTTTGATAATTACACTTTGATTGTGAGCGAGTACTTGGATTCTAAGCGATTGCATTCGTTACTGTCTGAATCCGCTCAAAATTTGAAGAAATTGGCTGGAATCAGTGATGATGAGCTTGGGGGCAGGATTCTTCCTGTTTATGTTTTTGATCTCGAACTCGATAGGACTTTGTTGCTCGATCGATTCCACCAAGCTGTTGCTTTCAAGGACATGGTCATAGCTGTTAGGACTAGAAGCTCCCAGAGTGTGACTGACTACAGCTGTAACGGCCGCCATGTTATAACCCAAATCCGAGAGCTTGAAAGGCCAATTGTGGGTTCTCTTTTGCAAACATTATGGGGAGTTTCACCTACCCATTTGTCATGGAGCCCTCTTCATAACAATACACTGGTGGACTATACTTGGAGCATGGGGCAAACACCATTTGGACCTTTTTCACGGCTCTACTCTCTATCCTTTGTGCAAAAGGATGCTGCAAAAAGAAATATAGTTTTAACAATGATGAATTATACGATAACTAGTCTGATGGATGCTCTTGAGTCTTTGGAAAGTCATGGTGGATATAAAGAGGTGCTTAAACCAAAGAGATTTGTTGAATTTACTCAAAGGTGGAACCTTTTGAGGTATAAAATGGACCGAGCTGTTTCTGCGATGTCCCATTTAGATTTTGAGACTGCTCTTTATTTTGTAAGGTCTGGTGATCATGATGTTTATGCTATTCACACGATCATTTACCTTGCATCGCAAGAGCTTGAGGGGATCTTGGTTTGTTTCCAAGACCCGCCTTTTCCTTGGGCTTCAGCTTCTATGAGTTTGGGGGCTTTTGCTGCTCTACTTTATGTGTATTCGAAGAGAGATCAGATTTTCAGGAGCAAAAGGAAGCAGTTTTGATGTGCATTTAGAGAGAGAAGACAAGCTTTTAAACTCGGATATCAAATTCCAATATCAATGTTAATTATCTGTGTTTCAATGTTTTCTTATGGTGTTATCCTTGGTCATTTTGTTTCAATATTTTCTGTGACACTACTAATTACCTGCAATTTTCTCTGAGAATTACTTTGATTTTTCCCTTTCATCTTTTTTTATGACTCAGATCCCCAAGAGTTATATTAGTTTCATGGTAAGCTCTCTTATACTTGTTTTTCCTTTCGTTTTCTTTTTTGAGATAAGTTCATCTTGTTCCTAACGTCAAAAGAAGAATAGTGCCCCTCCTGTACTTCAGTTCGCAAAATCGAGCTAATCTTTTTCAGATGTATTATTTTTATGGTACGTTCTCTTGTATCTTGTTTCTCCTTTTGTTTTCTTGATTGTAATGAGTTATCTTGTTCCATTTGTCAAAATAGCATAATCAATCTGGCCTTGTTCTCTTTCCATTAGCTTTGAGTGGTTTAAATTTGGTGAGTTTGGTTTTGAATTCTAAGTATTTTTGGTGACAGAACCAACATTATACCAGTTACTTTATATCTCGAAATTAGTGGCTCTACTTTCAGTTATTAATGTGGCATGTTTGCCTAGATCCTGTTTGCTCAATAAAGAACAATGGCCTACTCGAGATGCTTCTTGATTTGGATGTTATAGCTTTGGTGAAGCTAAATTTGTATTTATTGTTGTGTATGATGGACCACAATAACATTTACCATATTTCTGAGAAATGATGATCAATCCGAATGATGGAATTGTCTTTTCTTTATTCAGTCATTGTACAATTTCTGTTTGATTCTTTTAATTTGGGTGTAGTTTTGGATTTAAAACTTGGACTATAGTTCCTGCCCCTTATGCCTGAACCACTCAGCCAATAGGCCATCCAAAAGTAATGTTTTATTTGTGTGTAGATCTTATGATTCGTTTTCTTCAGAAAACAGTGACGAACAGCAATCTTCTCTCCATTCATAGGAATATTTTAGGGGTTCTTCATTCCAAATGGGTTTCTATAATCTGCTCTATTGATACAGCAATCTTCTCCTCATTCCTAAGAATATTTTAGGGGTTCTTCATTCCAAATGGTTTTCTATAATCTGCTCCATTGATCATGGTGCTCTCTAAGCGTAGCATTAGCTGATGGTTTGTTGTTTTGTGGCTGTTGTTGACAAAATTCTACCTGTTCCTAATGTGAAATACAGGGTTTTAAAAAATGGTGATCCGGATCAGAACTGGCCAATCCGATTCGGGAACCGGAGGGGCCAATCCATTTCCCGTTGAATATCAGGAACCAGCCGGTTCCCTCTATGAACTGGCCCCACTTTTATTTTAAAATTTTTTAAATTTTTTAAATTTTTATTGGCCTGTTCACTTAGCTGGATTGCCGTTCCACCGAATCGGACCAGTTTTCAAGATGGGCCATCCAGGTCACTGATCTGATCTTTTAGACCTTGGTAACATCAAAATCTATTTGTTAATGTGCATGGGAATCTGAATATTTCACCCACTTGATGTCATACGCTTACATGAAATTCAAGGCATATTGTTTCTCAAACTTCTGTTCTTTTGCCTTGTAACTTTGGATTGTTTTTCATGAATCCCTAATTGATTTCCTAACTCTGCCATGTTTTGTGCATTTGGGCCCCAAAAAACAGTGTATCATGCATATTCTAATGCTCCTTTTCTTTCTAATTTACTTTCATGAGCAATGATGGAACATCATCAATCCAACCACTGCCTGGTGAGCCATTGGACAATCCATAGGCTTCCATGCTATATAGGCTTTAACCATGCTCATTGGGTATTTAGCATCATAAGATAACCCATCTCTTCGTGCCTCTTGATGATTCATAATTTTTGCTCTATTGTGCTTTTAATCTTGTTTATGTTTTTGAAATTTCAAATGGGAAAATCACTGCTTATACCAAAACCTTTTATTTTATTTCAAATATCGTTGCCTTGCCGTTAGAAGCTTATGTTGTTGCCTTGAGATATTGAAGTCTTTAATATTTATTCGTAAAAAAAAAGTGTCTTTTAGCATTTTCATTTTTAGTCCCATTAGTATTTCGACTTCCTGCAACCATGAGAATTCTCTTTTTTAGTGAATATGTTTGTTTGATCTCCTTGGCTAGGGCTGAGAATTTACCCTGTTTGGATCTGAT